TCTCTAATCTGGCTAATAAAGTAACAATGCACATGATGTATAAAGCACAAACCTAACAGTTGCATCTCGTAACGGTTTGTTTCTCCTCTCAGCGGGGCAGCCTGCCCTACCAGAAGCTGACCGTTCCAGAGCACTCCCCCCCTGGTACTGTGGTGGGCAACATAACCAGAGCTGTGGATGCAGACGAGGGCTCCAATGCCATTGTCTATTACTTCATTGCCGGTATAATGGCTTTCTTTGAAGATGTTTGTGCTGTTTATCATTTCATGATGAAAGATATCCTTTTTTATAGTAACGCCTGGATTTCAGAACAGGTTCCAGGGATTATTTTCTGAATATATTATCTTCCTATTGTGTGAAGAGATGACAGCTTTTGCACATCAAAAGCTAGAGAACATTGCAGGAATTTGGAAAGATCCATCTTCACATGACATCTTTTTCATGTCCTGCCGAAGGAGGAAACAGCGACGGAAACTTTGGCCTGAGTCTCGATGGAGTGCTGAAGGTTTTCAAGGACCTGGATAGGGAGGAGATCCCAGCCTACCTCATCATCATCAAGGCCTCCAGCAACAGGAGCTGGACTCCACCCAAGGGTCAAAGGTCATTACGAGCCAAAGCACTGGACCCCAATCTTGACCCGAGCCTTCTGGAAGTCCGAATAGAATTGGATGACATTAACGACCAGACGCCACGTTTTTCTAAGACAGAATACACCGCCGGTAAAGATGACAGCTCAGTGTTAGAGGTTGCGAGGAAATCTAACTTATCGACTAACTTGGTGTTTTTGTTTAAGGTGTTGCTGCGAATGCTAAAGTCGGCTCAGACCTCATCAAAGTGGTGGCTGTAGACAACGACATTGGAAACAACAGTGTGGTCCAGTACCACATCGTTACTATCCGCTACTTCCAGACCCAGAGCAACGGCAGCGAAGACGTGGGCAACATCTTCACCATTGGTGAGAAAACGTGTTTCACCAACATATACATCAGATCTCACTTGGTACAACAGAACCATTTAACACTTATTTTCAATCGTTTTTAGTAAATAATGTGTTTTAAAAATTTGAGATGCAACAAAATGTACCAGTTATTTTTTTTTTTCACCATTGTTTGATTCCCTGTGGGATTCTTTTCCTGCTTCATCTCGTTGCAGGTTTGACGGATGGAATGATTCGGACTTATGACCTCTTCACGGCTTACGACCCAGGCTACTTTCAGCTAGAGATTTTAGCTTGTGACCTAGCAGGTCACAGCGCCACCACCAACGTGAACATCTACATCCTCCGAGACGACCAGAGGGTCAAGATAGTCTTCAACGAGATTCCTGACTGGGTTCGGGAAAACCAGGACGATTTCATCAGCCTGCTGTCCAACATCACAGGAGCCATCGTAAACCTGGATGACATACAGGTCAGACTTTCTCCCTTTCACTGTCTAATGCTACGTTCAGACCGCAAGAGGCAGCAGAAGCAGCTGGTTTACATGCAAAATCAATGGTTGACGCGCATCTTGGTGCTGGCAAAATATGTTTGATGAAACCTGCTGGCAAAATATGTTTGATTTTACATATGCATTACATACATCAGCAGAAAACTGCGAAGAGGTGACCGGGCCAGAGGCTGCTGTTGACAGAGCACCGCCGGTGTACAGTAGATCTGAGTGGCTCCTACTGAGAAATAATATTTGAAGTCCGGATATTAATCTTGATGAACAGAGGAAGTTTTCATGTGGACTTTCTCACTTAAAAACACATTTAAACTACTTTTTTACCCACTGATCACAGCAAATATAGCTGCCATTGTTACAGGCAAAGAAAGCATAGAGTAGCCCCGCCCAACGCGCATTAAACACACTTTTTGACCCCGCAGTTAGAGCAGCAAAGATGTTACAGCTGCGCGTCAGAACTAAAGTTGTACAAGCATCACGCATGTTTTTACTGCTCCTGCTGCATTATACTTACTTTTTTTTTGGGGGGGGGGGGGTCTACACCTTGATACGGTGGCCCTGAAGTGCAAACTGCAACTACAAATCTAAAAGCGCAACTACATTAAG